GATACTATAAATGTTATTCTCGCTTTCCTTTTATTCCCCACTTCTGATATCATCTTATAGTTATTTTTCTTCACTTGTTGCTACCTTTCTTTAGTTAACTATTTTTTAAAGTACTCGAATCAGTTGTAACCTTAACCCTTACTTTTTCCAAGTAATACTGAACCAAATTTAAATGATTAAGGTATGATGATGCTTTTCTTACTGTGCACCATTTCTGAAAGCTAATTGCCATTATCTCCATTACTGTGAAGGGAGGTAGTAGATACAATGGTGCGGCACTTCAAGATGCAAATATTTGGTGATCGGCAGCCTGGGTATGATGGCAAAAGAAACATGTACACAGCGCATCCACTACCAATCGGACGGGATAGGGTAAGTGTTAAAAACAAGAAATACTTAGTTCATTTAGTAGTAATTATACATGACAAAAATGTTTCCTTTTCTTCCCAACACCCACAAAAAAGATGAATGTTTGAGGTGGTGATATCCTAATTACCCTGATTTCATTATTACACATTGCATACAGATATCAAAATACCACATGTACCCCAAAAGTATGTACAACTGTCATTTATCAATTTTAAAAAATCTGTATGTGAGCAGAAAGAAAAGTTTCTCTAATAACACATCAATTCTTAGAATTTTTTTTTTTTTTTTTTTTTTTTTGAGATGGGATCTCACTCTGTTGCCTAGGCTGGAGTGCAGTGGTTTGGTCTCTGCTCACTGAAACCTCTGCTTCCCAGGCATGATTCTCCTGCCCCAGCCTTCTGAGTAGCTGGGATTACAGGCATGTGCCACCATGCCTGGCTAATTTTTCTTTTATTTTTTTCCTTGAGAGATGGATCCTTGCTCTATCGCCCAGGCTGGAGTGCAGTGGCGCAATCTCGGCTCGTTGCAACTTCCACCTCCTGGGTTCAAGTGATTCTCCTGCCTCAGCTTCCCAAGTAGCTAGGACTATAGGCGTGTACCAGCACGCCCAGCTCATTTTTGTACTTTATTAGTAGCGATGGGGGTTTCACTATATGTTGGCCAGGCTGGTCTTGAACTCCTGACCTCAGGTGATCCACCCACCTCAGCCTCCCAAAGTGCTGGGATTACAGGCATGAGCCACCATGCCTGGCCTTAATTTTTTTTTTTTTTTTATAGTACAGATGGGGTTTCACCATGTTGAACAGGCTGGTGTTAAACTCCTGACCCCAGGTGATCCACTGTCTCAGCCTCCCAAAGTGCTGGGATTACAGTCATGAGCCACCGTACCCGGCCAGAGTTGTTTTTTATAGTGATGATAGATTTGTTATTCTGTCCATATTCTCTTGTCTCAGTTAACTGATAATTGAAAATGAGATGAGCATTAGGATTTAGGTGGATTATGTCATCTTTACATAATTTCTAACATTAACCATGTGCTTTAACAAAGAACTACCTGAATCTGAACAACAGGGTTTTGTAAATTATAGAAAACTATATAATACTCACTTATGAAAATAGATTATAATAGCACAATACTTTTTTAAATGTTTATTTTTTTAAATTAGAAAAGTACTGTGTGAACATATGCTCATAATAAACTTATCCAGACAATCTAGAAATGCTGTGATTTACTGCCTCCCCCACTTATCTGCACCCTCACTTCCATTTTCCTTTTCAAAGGAAACTACTATAGTAGTTTGGTATGTATCTTTTTAGATATGTTATGTATATTAGCTATTTATACATATGTTGATGCATATTCTTACTGTTTTGCATGTCATTCTAGGATTTGCTTTTCATTTAACAATATGTCTGAAAGATCTTTCCATTTCTATACATTTATATCTACCTTATTTTTTTCAAATTTGTTTTTTATTGTTGTAAAATAATATATAATATAAAATTTACTATTTTTGGCTGGGTGTAGTGCTTCACCCAGCCAAAAATCCCAGTGCTGTGGGAGATCAAGGTGGGAGGATTGCTTGAGGCCAGTAGTTTGAGACCAGCCTGAGCAACACAGGGAGACCCATCTCTACAAAAAAAAAAAAAAATTGTTTTAATTAGCCAGGCCTGGTGGTGTGCACCTGTAGTTCCAGCTACTCGGGAGGCTAATGTGGGAGGATCCCTTGAGCCCAGGACTTTGAGGCTAGAATTAGTTATTATTGCACCACTACACTCCAGCTTGGATGACAGAGCAGGACCCTGTCTCAAAAAAAAATTACGATTTTATGTTACAGTTTAATTGCATTATGTACATCCACATTGTTGTGCATCCATCATCACTATGCATTTTCAGAACTTTTTCATCATTCCGAACAAAAACTCTGTACCTATTAAACAATAATTCCCCATACGCTACTGTCTCTGGTCCCTGATGACCACTGTTCTACTTTCTATCTCTTTAAATTTGACTATTCAATGTACTTCATAGAAATAGAATCATGAAATATTTGCCTTTTTGTACCTGGCTTGTTTTATTTAGCATAATATTTTCAAGGTTCATCCATGTTGTAACATCTACCTTGTTTTTTCACTACTGTATAATGTTACATATTAAATTATTCCCCTTCTCATGGACACTTAAGTTGTTTCCAATGTTATGCAATTATAAAAAATGTTAAAAGAAATATCCTTATGCTTATATCATACTGCATATTCTTGGGATCTTTCTCACAGCCATTGTAAACATTTATGCTTGTATTCATGTGTTTTTTTCCTTAGGTTGATATGGAGGTGACTCTTCCAGGCGAGGGTAAAGACCAAACCTTTAAAGTGTCTGTTCAGTGGGTGTCTGTTGTGAGCCTTCAGTTGCTTTTAGAAGCTTTGGCTGGGCACTTGAATGAAGTCCCAGATGACTCAGTACAAGCACTCGATGTTATCACAAGACACCTTCCCTCCATGAGGTTAGTACTTTGGTTTGGATTATTTTCCTACAAATGTCAGACTTTTTTGGTAGATTGCACTGGAGCCATTGAAAAATGTCTACGTAAGTCATAGTTCAAATTTGATTTCAGCTCCCAGAGTTGAGAGTGAAATGAAGGAACTTTCATATGTTTAATATGACACATGCAAACTCTTGTTTCTTCAGGTACACCCCAGTGGGCCGTTCCTTTTTCTCACCCCCTGAAGGTTACTACCACCCTCTGGGAGGGGGAAGGGAGGTCTGGTTTGGTTTTCATCAGTCTGTGAGACCTGCCATGTGGAATATGATGCTCAACATTGATGGTAGGATGGAACTCTCTTTATCCAATAACTCTTTGGGCTGGTTTTTGTTTGTTTGTTTGTTTTGGCCCTTCCTTTTTACCTGAAGTTAAGCATCCTTCTCTGTTTGTTAGTATCTGCAACTGCTTTCTACCGGGCTCAGCCTATCATTGAGTTCATGTGTGAGGTTTTAGACATTCAGAACATCAATGAACAGACCAAACCTCTAACAGACTCCCAGCGTGTCAAGTTTACCAAAGAAATCAGAGGTAAGTGTTTGCATTAATGTAGTCTTGGAGAAGCAGCTCAGCATGCTGCAAGGAGCCTGTGCTCTGGAGTCACACAGACCTGGGCTTCGGTCTCAGGCCAATCAGTTCTATCAGTGGGACCTTGGTCAAGTTCCTTAACCACTGTGAACCTTAGTGTATTCATCGCTAAGGTAAAGATAATAATATATACCTTATAGAGTTGTTGTGAAAATTAAATGCAATTAGGTTTATAAAGCTTTCTAGCATAGTACCTGTCACATATCAGGCACTCAGTAAATGCTACCCTTACCCACTTAAAAACTTCCATTTTAATAAAATAACATAAATTCATTTATTACCCTTCTGGAATTTCTTTTCTTCTTTACTTGTTATTAGTTAGCTTCCCTCACTGGAACATAAACTTCATGAAGCTGTCTCCAGACCTGAAAATAAGTGTCAGAACATAGTTGATGCTTAATAAATATTTATTGGATGAAATAATAAACTAAAGTAGATTGAGCATCTTAGGTCATCTGAGTTCTAATTTATTCTGCTTAGCTCAGGTTTTTTGCCTATAATGATGAAATTGTCCCCATATTCTTGGAATTTTTATCCTGTACAATGTCATGACATTTTGAAGACAACATTTGAATCTGTTTTTGTCACTATGATTTTAATTAACTGATGTTTTGCCTTTTAAAAAAAATTTCAGGTCTCAAAGTTGAGGTGACCCACTGTGGACAGATGAAACGAAAATACCGAGTTTGTAATGTGACTAGACGGCCAGCCAGTCATCAAACGTATGTTAACCATATCTAAAATAATACAATTACATTTTTAGTAATGGAGCTACTGTAATCGTTTAAGAAATTGGTTATTGGCTGGGCGCAGTGGCTCACACCTGTAATCCCAGCACTTTCTTTGAGAGGCTGAGGTGGTGGATCACGAGGTCAGGAGTTCAAGACGAGCCTGGCCAAGAGGTGAAACCTCGTTTCTACTAAAAATACAAAAAAATTGCCAGGGTGTGTGGCAGGCACCTGCAATCCCAGATACTTGGGAGGCTGGACAGAGAATTGTTTGAACCTGGGAGCAGGAGGTGATTACAGTGAGCGAGGTCATGTCACTGCCACTCCAGCCTG